GGTGGCTGACTAAATTCTTTTTTTCCCCACTGTATGTCATGCAATAAAATACAAATTAATTACTTAAAAATCATACAATGTGATTTTCTGGATTTTTGTTTTAGATTCCGTCTCTCAGAGTTGAAGTGTACCTTTGATAAAAAATTACAGACCTCTACATGCTTTGTAAGTAGGAAAACCTGCAAAATCGGCAGTGTATCAAATACTTGTTCTCCCCACTGTATATATATATATTTTTTGTTCAATTAGTTAAACAAAGAATATTAATTATAATTGTACATGATATACTCAGTATTTAAGAAAAACCCTGTTTGATTGTGTGTGTGTGTGTGTGTGTGTGTGTGTGTGTGTGTGTGAGAGAGAGAGTTAGGCTACATGGAGGGGATTATTGGGTAGTTTGGTTCATCAGGCTTGAGCAACCCTAGTAAATAGACAAGATATTGAGTTTCTTAAACAAAGGTGCAGATGGATTTGGCCGGTGTAGGCCGCCATTGTAAATAAGAATGTGTTCTTAACTGACTTGCCTAGTTAAATAAAGGTAAAATAAAAATAGAGCCCGGTAATTAGAGGAGGTGGCTAGTCTTGTAAATCTATTTTGTATGATGAGTCATTTGTGTAGATAGGAGGCATATGTACTGGCCCAGACAATATTACAGTAAATGAGATATGGGTAAATTAAGCTATAGTGTAGAGTTAGGAAGCAAGCCTGATGAACCAAACCACTAATCTTTCTGATGATACCAACAGATTTCATCACTTTGCTGCAGACATTGAATATGATCTTTCCAGGAAAAGTTTTCATCAATTAGAACTCTGAGGAATCTAGTGGATGTGACTTGTTCCATTTCATTCCCACCAATTGAGATTCTGGCTCTTTAAAAAAAAACAATATTTCTTATTCTTAATAGTGAATACAATAAAGTTGGATTTTTAAAACATTTTTAAAGATAATTAGTTTATCCGGAACCATTCAGAAAATCTGGCCACACCTGAGTTGGCTTCATTAATTAGTGAATCAAAATTATTGTGTGATAAAATCAAATTGGTATTATCAGCAAAGAGAATGGGAAGTACAGTAGAAGACACAGCAGCAAGGTCATTAATATAGATTAGGAATAACAAAGGCCCAATTATCGAACCCTGTGGCAGGATGTATCCTGGCGCCGACGAAGATGGCGGCCTCGCGACTAGCTCTTAGGAAACTTTGCAGTATTTTTTAAAAATGTATTATTTTTTACATTATTAGCTCAGAAAGTGTTTTGCATCAATACATGCAGCCGGGAAAAACTATTGGATATCTTTCCCGAAGCAGATCCTTTGTTTGCTCTCCCCAGGGCAACTGAACTGATTCCAGCGGCTGACCCAAAACATCGCCGGCGGAGGAGAGGCACTCAGAGCGGCCTGCTGGTTCGACTTAGGAGGAGCGCACACCACCCACCGCTTCCAAGTATACTACTTGCTAATGTTCAGTCTTTGGTTAACAAGGTCGACGAACTACAGGCAAGGATTTCTTTCCAGAGAGACATCAAGGCCTGTAACATACTCTGTTTCACGGAAACATGGCTCTCTTGGGATATTCTGTCGAAATCGGTCCAGCCAGATGGGTTCAAAGTTCATCGCGCAGACAAGAATAAATATCTCTCCGGGAAGCAGAAGGGCGGAGGTGTGTGTTTCATGATTTAACGACTCATGGTGTAATTGTAGTAACATACAGGAACTTTGACGACTAGGCTGCCGAAGTTCTATCAACATATTGAAGTTCTATCAACATATTGACTGTTGTTCTCGTGCTGCTAAAATCCTCGACCATTGCTATTCGAACTTCCGGGATGGTTATAAGGCCCTCCCCCGCCCTCCTTTCGGCAAATCTGACCACGACTCCATTTTGCTTCTCCCTTCCTATAGCCAGAAACTCAAAAAAGGAAGTACCCGTGCTAAGGACTATTCAACATTGATCTGACCAATTGGAATCCACGCTTCAAGATTGTTTTGATCACGCGGACTGGGATATGTTCCAGGGAGCTTCCGAAAATAATTTAGACGAATACACTGAAACGGTGACTGAGTTTATCAGGAAGTGTATAGGTGATGTTGTGCCCACTGTGACTATTAAAACCTACCCTAACCAGAAACTGTGGATAGATGGCAGCATTCGCGCAAATCTGAAAGCACAAACCACCGCGTTCAACCATGGCAAGGTGACTGGGAATATGGCAGAATACAAACAGTGTAGCTACTCACTCCGCAAGGCAATTAAACTGGCAAAACATCAATATAAAGACAAAGTGGAGTCGCAATTCAACGGCTCAGACACGAGACGTATGTGGCAGGGTCTACAGACAATCACAGACTGCAAAAGGAAAACCAGCCACATCGCCGACACCGACGTCTCGCTTCCAGACAAGCTAAACACCTTCTTCGCCCCTTTGAGGATAACACAGTGCCACTGACGAGGCCCACTGCCAACGACTGTGGCCTCTCCTTCTCCATGGCCGACGCGATTAAGACATTTAAGCATGTTAACCCCTGCAAGGCTGCCGGCCCAGACGGCATCCCTAGCCACGTCCTCAGAGCATGCACAGACCAGTTGGCTGGTGTGTTTATGGACATATTCAATCTCTCCCTTTCCCAGTCTGCTGATCCCACATGCTTCAAGATGGCCACCATTGTTCCTGTACCCAAGAAAGCAAAGGTAACTGCACTAAATGACTATCGCCCTGTAACACTCACCTCTGTCATCATGAAGTGCTTTGAGAGACTAGTCAAGGATCATATCACCTCTGCCTTACCTGTCACCCTAGACCCACTTCAATTTGCTTAACGCCCCAATAGATCCACAGACGATGCAATCGCCATCACACTGCACACTGCCCTATCCCATCTGGACAAGAGGAATACCTATGTAAGAATGCTGTTCATTGACTATAGCTCAGCATTCAACACCATAGTACCCTCCAAGCTCATCATTAAGCTTGAGGCCCTGGTTCTGAACCCCGCCCTGTGCAACTGGGTCCTGGACTTCCTGACGGGCCGCCCCCAGGTGTTGAAGGTAGGAAACAACATCTTCACTTCGCTGATCCTCAACACTAGGGCCCCACAAGGGTGCGTGCTCAGCCCCCTCCTGTACTCCCTGTTCACCCATGACTGCGTGGCCAAGCACGCCTCCAACTCAACCATCAAGTTTGCAGACGACACAACAGTAGTAGGCTTGATTACCAACAATGACGAGACCGCCTACAGGGAGGAGGTGAGGGCTCTGGGAGTGTGGTGACAGGAAAATTACCTCTGACTCAACGTAAAAAAAACAAAGGAGATGATCGTGGACTTCAGGAAACAGCAGAGGGTGCCCCCCCCCCCCCATCCACATTGACGGGACCGCAGTGGAGAAGGTGGAAAGCTTAAAGTTCCTTGGCGTACACATCACTGACAAACTGAAATGGTCCACCCATGCAGACAGTGTGGTGAAGAAGGCGCAACAGAGCCTATTCAACCTCAGGAGGCGGAAGAAATTCGGCTTAGCACCTAAAACCCTCACAAACTTTTACAGATGCACAATTGAGAGCATCCTGACGTGCTATATCAACGCCTGGTACAGCAACTGCACCGCCCGCAACCGCAGGGCTCTCCAGAGGGTGGTGCGGTTTGCCGAACGCATTACCGGGGGCAAACTACACGCCCTCCAAGACACCTACAGCACCCGATGTCACAGGAAGGCCAAAAAGATCATGAAGGACATCAACCACCCGAGCCACTGCCTGTTCACCCCACTATCATCCAGAAGGCGAGGTCAGTACAGGTGCATCAAAGCTGGGACAGAGAGAATGAAAAACAGCTTCTATCTCAAGGCCATCAGACTGTTAAATAGCCATCACTAGCACATTAGAGGCTGCTGCTGCCTATTGAAATCACTGGCCACTTTAAGAAATGGAACACTAGTCACTTTAATAATGTTTACATATCTTGCACTACTCATCTCATATGTATATACTGCATTCTATTCTATAATATTCTACTGTATCTTAGTCCATGCCGCTCTGTCATTGCTTGTCCATATATGTATATATTCTTAAATCCCATTCCTTACTAGTTTTGTGTGTATTGGGTATATGTTGTGAAATTGTTAGATATTACTTGTTAGATATTACTGCACTGTCGGAGCTAGAAGCACAAGCATTTCGCTACACCCGCTATAACATCTGCTAAACACGTGTATGTGACAAATAACATTTGATTTGATTTGACATCACAGGATATCTTAGCCCTGGTAGTTGCACAGCCGTTTGCATAAACAAATTGTTCTCTATCATAAACATAACTATATAACCAATTATATGTATAATCATGAAAACTGTAATAATGCAATTTAGAAAGTAATATTTCATGATCAACTGTGCCAAACGCTTTGGATAAATCTAAAAAGATGCCAAGAGCGTATTCATTATTGTTAAGGGCTGTAAAGATTTTATCCACAAGTTGCAAAAGAGCCATATCTGTGGAGTAGTTTTTACGAAAATATCAAAAGATCATAGGTTCAACTAACTGATGCTGTGCCACAATAAAAAAGAAATGTTTTTGCACGATTTAATGCATAAGCAAATGTCCTATCTGTGTTTGGAGTTCAAAACAGTTAACCCAAACTAAGGTAGCGGTCTTATTGAAATGTTCAGTGAAAGTTATTCAAAAACCTCCAAATAACCTAAAAATTAGGTTCTCACTTACGTTAATAAAACCTCCCAGGAAAACTTTCAGGGAACCATAGTAAAACGTTCTCAGTATCTCCCTCTAACCAACAAATTAAGGTGACATTTTCACTTCCGTTTTCAGAACGTTAAATATTTCTTCAGTTTTACAGGTCAGGAAACGTATGGCTTCATTCCCAGAACCAATAGGAAACCAAAAACGTATGTTCCCACACCTTCCAAGGAACCAAATGTGCTAGCTGGGTCTTGACTTTAACATACTTTTTCTATCTAAAGTGGACAGAACGGGGGCCTGGTATGATGGCTGAAGAGGACTGCTGTGCCTCAGCAGATGAGGGAGCGAAGAGTGGCCGACACGTCCCCTTAGTGCTGGAGAGAAGGGAGAAGAAGGAGGAAAACTGGAGGACAGCCGTTTCACACCAACTAAAAAAGCAGTGCACATGCAGCTCAGAGCGAGCCAAGGCCCAGGTTCTGGGGTTTGTCCCCATCCTAAAATGGCTGCCACGCTACCAGCTCAGAGACTGGATCCTGGGTGACGTCATGTCAGGGTTGATAGTGGGCATCCTGCTGGTGCCCCAGTCCATCGCCTACTCTCTGCTGGCGGGCCAGGACCCTATCTACGGCCTCTACACCTCCTTCTACTCCAGCATCATCTACACCCTGCTTGGCACCTCACGCCACATCTCCGTGGGCATCTTCGGGGTGCTGTGCCTGCTGGTGGGCCAGGTGGTGGACAGGGAGCTGGCCCTGGCAGGGTACCTCACAGAGAGTAGCAGTAACAACACTACACTGGGCCTGGGGAATGCCACCACAGGGCCGGTCTGTGATAGGAGCTGCTATGCCATCATGGTGGGGGCCACAGTCACCTTTACAGCAGGGGTATACCAAGTAAATATGTGCAGAAAGGGAATGGTGTAATACATTTTTTTTCTCATGTCTCACGTGATAAAAAGCACTGACAAACAGAACTCATTCATGTTTTAACAGGTTGATTGACATTGGTCATAAAAAGTATGAATTGTATTGTATATACATTTTTCTAATGCCATTACTCCCTCTCTGTTTTCAATCTGTGGTTGTAGGTATTGATGGGCCTCCTGCAGGTGGGCTTTGTATCTGTTTACCTGTCAGACTCCCTCCTGAGCGGTTTTGCCACGGGGGCCTCTCTCACCATCCTTACCTCCCAGGTCAAGTACCTCCTGGGACTGAAGCTGCCTCGCGCCCAGGGCTGGGGCTCCCTCATCAAGACCTGGGTCAGCCTCTTCCAGAACCTGGGCCAGACTAACCTGTGTGACCTGGTCACCAGCCTGGTGTGCTTGACGGTGTTGGTCCCCACCAAGGAGCTCAACGATCGCTTCAAGGCCAAGCTCAAAGCCCCCATCCCCTTTGAGCTGTTTGTTGTCATCGGCGCCACTATGGCCTCCCACTTCGGCCACTTCAAGGAGACGTATGGCTCAGACGTGGCCGGTGCCATCCCCACGGGCTTCCTGCCTCCCCAGCTCCCGTCCTGGTCTCTGATCCCCAATGTGGCGGTAGATGCCTTCTCCATATCAATCGTGGGCTTTGCCATCACCGTCTCCCTGTCTGAGATGTTTGCCAAGAAGCACGGCTATGTGGTGGATCCCAACCAGGAGATGTATGCCATAGGCTTCTGTAACATCCTGCCCTCCTTCTTTCGCTGTTTCACCACCAGCGCTGCCCTGACCAAGACCCTGGTGAAGGAGTCCACAGGCTGCCAGACTCAGCTGTCTGGCCTGGTCACGGCCCTGGTGCTGCTACTGGTGCTGCTGGTCATCGCTCCCCTATTCTACTCTCTACAGAAGTAAGACCATGCTATTCTGTGTCTAAGTGTACTCAGCTTTTCTACACATGTTCATCTCATGTTTACCAGATAATTATCTTCCACTGATTTGGTGATTACTTTATTAACCTGCTATGTTTTCATGTTGTCTGTTAGGTGTGTGCTGGCAGTGATCATCGTGGTGAATCTCCGGGGAGCGCTGCGGAAGTTTACAGACATCCCGCGGATGTGGCGTGTGAACCGTGTGGATGCTGCCATCTGGCTGGTGACCATGGCAACCTCAGCGTTGATAAACACTGAGCTAGGCCTGCTGGTGGGGGTGATGGTCTCAGCCTTCTGTGTGTTGGGGCGCACTCAGAGAGCCCAGGCCTTAGAGCTGGGCCGGGCCGGCCAACGGGAGCTTTACGAGGACCTGGCCTCCTACAAGGGCCTGCAGACCCAGCCTGGGGTGGCCATCTTCCGCTACGAGGCGCCCATCTACTACGCCAACCAGAGCCTGTTCAAGAAGGCCCTGTACCGCCGCCTGGGCCTGGACCCCGTCAAGGAGAAGGCCCGGCGGAGGAAGCTGGAGAAACAGAGGAAGAAACAGGAAGAAGCAGCAATGACAGCAGGAGGGGAGGGAGGGACTAAGATTAAAAAAGAGACAGAGTTGACCAACGCCACCAGAATCTTCCTACCAAATCAAGTCAACTTCCACTCTCTGGTGATAGACTGTAGCCCGGTGCTGTTTCTGGACACAGCAGGGGTGAATGCATTGAAGGAGGTCTGTAAGGATTATAAGGAGTTGGGGGTGCAGGTGTTCCTGGCCCAGTGTAATACCTCAGTACTGGAGTCACTGGACAGAGGGGGCTACTACCCTGAGGAAGAGAAGGAAAACATGTTTTTCACCATCAGCAATGCCGTCCACTACTCACATAGCCTCTCATCTCAAAATGGAGAATGTGACACGTCCTGTTAACAACAGCTTTAAAGATTGTATATCTACAGAAATAGATCTTAATACTAGGGTTGCATAATTCTGGGAAGTCCCTGGTTTGCCTGAAATCCTGATTGGAGGATTCCCAGAATCACAAGGGAATAGGCAGGAAATCCTGAATCCTCCAACCAGGATTTCTGTGAAATCATGGAATTAATTTAAAGTTCCTGGGATTTTGCAACCCTACTTAATACACAACATATACACTGAGTGTACAAAACATTAGGAACACCTCCTCTTTACATGACATAGACTGACCAGGTGAAGCTATGATCCCTTATTGATGTCACCTTCAGTCAGTGTTAAAGAAGGATTTTTAAGCCTTGGGACAATTGAGACATGGATTGTGTATGTGTGACATTCAGAGGGTGAATTGGCAAGACAAAAGATTGAAGTGCCTTTGAACATGGTATGGTAGTAGGTGCCAGGATTACCGGTTTGAGTGTGTCTAGAACTGTAATGCTGCTGGGTTTTTCACTCAACAGTTTCCCGTGTGTATCTAGAATGGTCCACCACCCAAAGGACATTCAGCCAACTTGACACAACTGTGAGAAGCATTGGAGTCAACATGGGCAAGCATCCCTGTGGAATGCTTTCGACAACTTGTAGAGTGTTCTGAGGGAAAAATGGAAGTGCAACTCAATATTACAGAGGTGTTCCTAATGTTTTATACATAGACAGTATCTATCTCAAACAACATAAAACACAACCGATATTGTTATTGTGCCATACAGGAACATGTGTAAATGTATCCAAGATGCTGTGCCTTTCTCTAGACACTTTTTGCAAGACCCAGCCTGGGGTGGCCATCTTCCGCTACGAGGCGGAAGTTGAATGTCATTTTTACAGTATAGCTACACAGTGTAACATTTTGAGCAAATATTATTTTATTTTCTATCATTGTCAGACTGTGGACCAACTGTGGACCAAAACAAACTTTCTGTTACAATCTCATCAAAGATAGAATTCATTGTCATGCAATGTCAAGCTTTAGGACAAAGTTTTTTTATAGCAATGTTCTGAGATGGTTTTGGTCCATGATTTAGCACCTCATTTATTCCTCCATGTTTGGTTCTTGTGCAAACAGTGGGAATGTTACTGTTGTAGAATTTGTTTTTCCTTTGTTACTCTGGCAAAAATAGAGCTGCCGTTAATAAGGTGAATGGTCAGATAGTCACTGAAGATGTTGTCTGTTTTGAATGCCATATAAGATTGTGTCAGCGTTATGTAGCTTTTGAAATGATACATGATTGTTTTTTTGAGCTGCAACTTGTTGAAGTAGTGATTGATATTGTGTTGTCTTAGCTTTCTGGAACCAAACTATTTACATTCAAGGTGAATGAGATTGTAAGAAGTTAATTCACATAGATAATATTTATTTTCTACAGGTGATCACTATTTTGGTTGTACTCTTGATCACATGAACAAACCAAAAAAGAGTCATTATAATGCTGTTACTATACATCAATGTAATTGTTTTTCTTTTTCAGATACACTGTTATGATTGCGTGCCATTTCCCATTTTCTTTGAATGCTTAAATTCCTGGAATACATTAATAGGTGCAGTGACGAATGTATTGAAGCCAGCCAGGAATAACATTGCAATGAGTTGCGATGTTCTCTCACCTAGATGACTATGCAAAATCCAATGTTTACTGAAGCCATTACAGGGGAGTGTGTATTCTCGCAACGTCCATATGATTGTGTTGAATTTGAAGCATGAATCAGGGATTTTGCTTATCAAAATGTACTTTTTACACAATACAGTTCTCATACCCATTTACTCTAAAGAAAACTAACGCATTTGTTTCTGTGTAGATGAGTTTATAGTGTACAGACAAGATAGGCAGGCGTCCTGAGGGGAGTATACTGCAAGAGGAGTTGTTTGGGCAGTAGGGCTAGTCAATGTGACCCCTGCCCTGAATGGGAGTTGTAGTGAAGGGCAGTCAGGTAGGGACAAGGTGAAAAACGCCTCCAGTGGTTTCAATAACTAAGACTATTCGAGACACGCCTGCACATACAGGACAGTGCTCTTCTTCTTACAGTCTCCTTGCAGACAGAAATCTTTCCATCCACAGTAAGGAGTGGCCCACAATGCGAGCACTGTTGGCTGATTTTCCTTCACTGTGGTACAACTCATCCCAAACATCTCAATGTGGCTGAGGTCGGGTGATTGTGGAGGCAGGTCATCTGTATGCAGCACTCCATCACTCTCCTCTTGGTCAATAGCCCTTACACAGCCTGGAGGTGTGTTGGGTCATTGTCCTGTTGAAAAACAAATGATAGTCCCACTAAGCGCAAACCAGATGGGATGGCGTATCGCTGCAGAATGCTGTGGTAGCCATGCTGGTTAAGTGTGCCTTGAACTCTAAATAAATCACAGACGGTGTCACCAGCAAAGCACCATCACACCACCTCCTCCATGCTTCACAGTGGGAAACCACACATGCGTAGATCATCCGTTCACCTACTCTGCGTCTCACAAAGACACGGCGGTTGGAACCAAAATCTCAAATTTGGACTCGTCAGACCAAAGGACAGATTTCCACCTGTCTAATGTCCGTTGCTTGTGTTTCTTGGCCCAAGCAAGTGTCTTCTTCTTATTGGTGTCCTTTTAGTAGTGGTTTCTTTGCAGCAATTCGACCATGAAGGCCTGATTCACGCAGTCTCCTCTGAACAGTTGATGTTGAGATGTGTCTGTTACTTGAACTCTGTGAAGCATTTATTTGGGCTGCAATCTGAGGTGCAGTTAACTCTAATGGCCTTATCCTCTGCAGCAGAGGTCACTCTGGGTTTTCCTTTCCTGTGGCGGTCCTCATGAGAGCCTGTTTCATCATAGCGCTCGATGGTTTTTGCGACTGCACGTGAAGAAACTTTCAAAGTTCTTGAAATTTTCCAGATTGACTGACCTTCATGTCTTAAAGTAATGATGGACTGTTGTTTCTCTTTGCTTATTTGAGCTGTTCTTGCAATAATATGGACTTAGCCCTATTTGGTAAAATACCATCTTCTGTATACCACCCCTACCTTGTCACAACACAACTGATTGGCTCAAACGCATTAAGAAGGAAAGAAATTCCACAAATTATCTTTTAACAAAGGCACACCTGTTAATTGAAATGCATTCCAGGTGACTACCTCATGAAGCTGGTTGGGAGAATGCCAAGCGTGTGCAAAGCTGTCATCAAGGCAAAGGGTGGCTACTTCGAAGAAAATCAAATATATTTTGATTAGTTTAACACTTTTTTGGTTACTACATGATTCCATATGTGTTATTGCATAGTTTTAATGTCTTCACTATTATTCTACAATGTAGAAAATAGTAAAAATTAAGAAAAACCCTGGAATGAGTAGGTGTGTCCAAACTTTTGACTGGTACTGTATGTATATATTAATGGCTGCATTTGACTGAAGTTGTAATACAGTTAGTAATCAGTGCTGGTAGAGAGTGTAACTGTTGGCTTTATTTTGTTGTAGTTGTAAAACAATTTTTTTTGCGTGTAGAATATAGAGACAATCAATGTTGAGATAATTATAAGGGAAACATCTGTTACTGAAAATTGTAATGTCCTTTCAAGTGACTCTGAGATTGTTATATCATGTTTTAAGAAGTGCCTTTCTGAATGTCCCTAAAATGTATACTCAGTAAGTAAATGTATTTACTTAAACCAGTCTCTGGTCTTTGATTTTCCAGTAAGCAAAATTAATTTGAAAATATATTTTCCAGATGTTGAAGTTAGGTTCACTTTAGGTTCTGAATGAGGTGAAAATACATATTTTCCAGATGTTTAAAATACATTTTTTCCGGATGTTGAAATCAGGTTCTCTTTGGTTCTGAATGAAAGTTGAAAATATGTATTTTCAGGAACATTGAAAATACATATTTGCTGGACATTGAAATCCGGCTAATTTTCGTTTCGGAATGAAAGTTGAAAATAAGTGATTTATGGACATTGAAAATACATATTTTTTGGTCATTGATTCTATGGCCAAATTTCAACTGCACATACATTCTCAATGAATTAAGCATTATATCACGATAATAACTTTTAAATCCATGTAATATAGAAAAGAGGAGCCAGTTGAAGATTGCAACAGAATATGTATTAATGCTCCCATCTATCACATGCACTTATGTTAGCTTTTTCAAAAGCTTTAAAGCCCCCCATGCTGTCTTTTTAATTACTTTTTTTTTAAGCATCACCGTATGTCTAATAAATCACTAAGTTTATTTCATGAAAATAACTCCATGTATATTTTTTAATCATTTATTTAGTTGAGACTCCTTTTGCAATTTGAAATGCTCATTGATTGTGTGGGTGGGTGTGTTGATACGGCGGCAGGCAGGTAGCTTAGTGGTTAACAGCGCTGTGCCAGTAACCGAAAGGTCGTTAGTTCTAATCCCAGAGCCGACTAAGTGAAAAATCTGTCGATGTGCCCTTGAGCAAGGCACTGAACCCTATTTGCTCCTGTAAGTCACTCTGGATAAGAGCGTCTACTAAATAAATAAAAATACAAATTTAAATATATTGACATACAAAGCCCTGATTGGCAGATAGGATCGTCTAGACTCTAGAGCAGGGCTCTCCAACCCTATTCCTGGAGAGCTACCCTCCTGTAGGTTTTCACTCCAATCCCAGTTGTAACTCAATCAGCTTATCAGCCCGCTGATTATTAGAATCAGGTGTGCTAGATAAGGGTTGGAGTGAACCTACAGGACGGTAGCTCTCCAGGAACAGGGTTGGAGATCCCTGCCCTAGAGCCTACCCCTCTTACCCCTTCAAAGTAGGAGGATACATATGCAAATAAAAGATGACTGGTCAGAATAAACTCCATCACACCTGAACAGGCTGAAATTACAGGCATGTTTTTTCACTAAAAGGGCATTATCATCATTTCACAATTTCATAGTGTTATTACGACCTCGCAGTGTGGAAATATCATTAAAGGTAGCCTGGCGGGTAGGAGCGTTGGGCCAGTAACCGAAAGGTTGCTGGATCGAATCCCCGAGCTGACAAGGTACAAATCTATCTTTCTGCTCCCGAGCAAGGCAGTTAACCCACTGTTCCCCAGGCGCCGATGACATGGATGTCGATTAAGGCAGCCCCCCGCACCTCTCTGATTCAGAGTGGTTGGGTTAAATGCGGAAGACACATTTCAGTTGAATACATTCAGCTGACTAGGTATCACCCTTTCCTTTTTTTCCCATTTTGACAGCACTGCCCTTTTAAAACTGGCAGTGATGATGTTCAAAGTAATTCAACCTTCTTCTTCGGTATAATGGCGTTCCCACATTTGTTTGTGCATGCCGCCACCTACTGTGCAGGTGTGTGTGGTCGATCGCGTTACATTTTGTGATACAAAACTTAAAAAGGAAGGGGGAAAGGAAAACATTGCACCACCAACTAACCCTACACCTATATAACACTATTTCATAAAAAAAATATAAACACCACCCCATTCCACTATTTGATCCTAACTGATCCTACTCCAGGCCAATGGCCTGGGAGGACGGGACTGTTTCGTTCAACACACCTTGTAACTCTTCTGCAGTAAAACCTCGTACACCCAAGTACTATTCTGCAGCTGCCACCACAACATCTATTCTCTGTAATTTAAGTTCAATTTCTGTGGTACGGTTGATAACCATGGCAATGAATGCTAAAAAGCCAACATTACTGAAGCACAAATTGGTATCACTCTGTATTGGCCTCGGCCTACTACTCACCCTTGACCCATCATCCTCTACTCTCTATACTGCCTCAGCATACGACACCTTCTGTTCTACTCTGACCCGGGCAACCTTAACCTGTCTCTCTCGCACTGGGCACGTCTGATCCCCAGCAACACACTGCTGTAACATGACCATATGCTTGGCATCTAAAACACCTTAGAGGGTTTGGCACAAAATCTATCACGGGATAACTGACTTTGTCAGGTAAAGACTGCTTCAAAACTCAAAAGGACAGACAGTTTCTTCTCAGTTTCACCACGCTTGCCAAACGACGGGGTCACAGACACAGGAAATCTTCAATTTCAGTTGATCCACCTCAACACTTAACGCCACCCCAGTAATCACTCATTTCAAAGGCGCCCTGCTCTGGAGAGCGAAGCAAGTCACAGGTCTTGCCCGAGGCGTGTGATGCAAAGCGCCCGCTCCCTCTGGGCAGAAGAAACACAGAAAATCATCACAAGTCCTCTTTGAGCTAACTTCACTGATTTACCAGTACTCAATTTATTTTCTACCCAACCTGAGACTACATACAGGTCAGCCGAAAGGCAGGGATCCACTTTCTCCAAAAATGTCACTCCCACTGGGCCAGAATCATCTTTTGCATTACCATCAGGGTGAGGCTCGGAGGTCTTCACCACACCTGCCACCACAGGTAATTTATTCTCACTCTTGTCAGGTTCAATTTCTGAGCCATCAGAGACAGCAGAGTACGGAATGTAGTACTTGGTGCCATTCTTCCTCAACACACGTCTTCCCTCTGCACTCAGCTC